ATGTAATCCCAACACTTTGGGAGGTTGAGGCAGGTGGATCACGAGGTCAAGAGATCGAGATCATCATGGCCAACGTGGTGAAACCCCGTCTCTACTAAAAATACAAAAATTAGCTGGACGTGGTGGCGCACACCTGTAGTCCCAGCTTCTTGGGAGGCTGAGACGGGAGAATTGCTTGAACCTGGGGGGTGGAGGTTGCAGTGAGCCGAGATGGTGCCACCGCACTGAAGCCTGGTGACAGAGCAAGACTCTGTCTTAAAAAAAAAAAAAAAAAAAAAAAAAAAGAGAGAGAGCAGCTAACCATTTGACTCATGTAACTTTTCTTTGCCTCCTTCAGGTTTTGTGGTCTTTGCAACCCTTGTGGTCATTGTGGCCTTGATACTAATCTTTGTGGTGGGCCCTCGCCACGGACAGACAAACATCCTTGTGTACATCACAGTCTGCTCTGTGATCGGCGCGCTTTCCGTCTCCTGTGTGAAGGGCCTGGGCATCGCCATCAAGGAGCTGTTTGCCGGAAAGCCTGTTCTGCGGCATCCCCTGGCCTGGGTGCTGCTGCTGAGCCTCCTCGTCTGTGTGAGCACACAGATTAATTACCTAAATCGGGCCCTGGATATATTCAACACTTCTATCGTGACTCCAATCTATTATGTATTCTTTACAACATCCGTTTTAACTTGTTCAGCTATTCTTTTTAAGGAGTGGCAGGATATGCCTGTTGATGATGTCATTGGTACTTTGAGTGGCTTCTTTACAATCATTGTGGGGATATTCCTGTTGCATGCCTTCAAAGACGTCAGCTTTAGTCTAGCAAGTCTGCCTGTGTCTTTTCGAAAAGACGAGAAAGCAGTGAATGGCAATCTCTCTAATATGTATGAAGTTCTTAATAATAATGAAGAAAGCTTAACCTGTGGAATCGAACAACACACTGGTGACAGTATCTCCCGAAGAAATGGAAATCTGACAGCTTTTTAAGAAAAATGTAATTAAAGGTTAATATGTGATTATGAAGTGAATTTGAATATCAGAATGTGTCTGAAAAAGCATTGTCCTCAAATAATGTTCTTTAAAGGCAATCTTTTTAAAAACTTCACTCATTTGGATCACGAAATTACTTTTTTCTTCTATTTAAACAATGGTAGCTCACTAAAATGACCTCAGCACATGACGATTTCTATTAACATCGTATTGTTGTAGAAGTATTTTACATTTTCATCCCTTCTCCAAAATCTGAATTCACTAATGACAGTTTTAAGTCTATAAAAATGTTTTATTTTTCCATTGGTGATGAAAGTCTGAAATGTGCATTTGTCATCCCGATTCCATCAAGCTTTTTTATTTTAAAAAAGAACACAGTTATCCCAATACATTATCCTATGATTTACCTTACCTATAAAAGTGGCTCCTGTTTGATGATTGGTTTTATTTTTGAAATATTAAGGGAAAACTAAGTTAGTGAATGAAGGAAATTCTTACAAGACAAAAAAAAGGGCGGAAATCACCACAAGGAACTATTTCTCAGGTTGTGATCTCTCACCGTGAATCCGGCTTCCTGTGTGCATTCGATGGCCGCCTTAGCACCTCATCAGACCAGCGCCTCCTGCCTGTTGTTGCAACCTGGCCGGGTTTATTCTTCAGTTGCCCTAATCCCATGCTGCCTGGAACCTTGATGATTACCGTTTTACATCAGCTCTTGTACTTTTTAGTATATTTTCATAATGAGTTATACTGTCATTTAGACTTGGAACAGCTCTCAGAAATAGAAGACTAGGGTTATCTCTTATATTTAGCTCATGTTACAATAAAAAGTTGAAAAGAAGTTCTTTTCTAAGTCTGAATGCTTAGAACAGACTTAAAATGTTTATAAAATATGGTCTGTTTGTACCAAGTATTTTGCTTAAGAGCTCCTTTGGGCCACTATATATTTTGGTTTCTAGAAAATGTTTATGAAGAAGTTGATGGAAAATTGCAAACACATGCAGAAAAGGTAGAATAATAAAAAAGGTCTAATGAACCCCATGCAGCTGTTGAACTTGTCCACTCATAACCACTGACTGGCCTTTAGTATTGGCAGAGTTAATTTCCACCTGGTGATGGGAAGAGAACGTTCATCTGTTCCAGTCCGTGGCTCCTGCCTGGAGGTTACCCAAAGGTGCGTCAGTGCCAAACCATCAGTCCCCGAGAGTCTCCCATGCCGACGGTGCTGGCATCCCGTGCAGCCACCATTGGCTGCATGGAAAGTCCCTTTTTTCTGAGTTTAGTATTGGCCTTCTAAGGAGCTGTTTTAGATGTTTTTCCTAACTGCCTCTTTCCGTGTCATTTAATACTACAGATGTACTCTATATCTGTTTATATACTGTACCTACATCTGTGCTTTGTATATAAAAGAACCAGTTTTCACCCCCTTGAGGATAGAGGCCTTGTTGAACATATATAGGTTAATAAAAAAAAGCTTTTTCTAATAAAAAATTCTTAGTTAACATTTTATAGCACTTGAGATTGTCTTATACCTAAATATTACATTATATATTTGGTATGTAATTAAGCCTTATAAAACTTGGTAATTTTTTTTTTTTTTTTTTTTGAGACAGAAGAGTCTTGCTCTGTCGCCAGGCTGGAGTACAGTGGCATAATCTCGGCTCCCCGCAACCTCCGCCTCCTGGGTTCAAGTGAGTCTCCTGCCTCAGCCTCCCAAGTAGCTGGGACTACTCGCCCAGCTAATTTTATATTTTTTTTACTAGAGACAGGGTTCCCTGTGGTGGCCAGGATGGCCTTGATCTCTTGACCTCGTGATCTGCCCGCCTCCGTCTCCCAGAGTGTTGGGATGGATCAATTATAGGTGTGAGCCGCTGCACTAGGCCAAAACTTGGCAATTTAAAGTAATTTATCCATCTGTTTGTGCCCTCTTATTTCCTTGAGCAGTGGTTTGTAGTTCTCCTTGAAGAGGTCCTTCACATCCCTTGTTACTTGTATTCCTAGGTGTTTTATTCTCTTTGTAGCAATTGTGAATGGGAGTTCATGATTTGGCTCTGTTAGTCTGTTACTGGTATATAGGAAGGCTTGTGATTTTTGCACATCGATTTTGTATCCTGAGACTTTGCTAAAGTAGCTTATCAGCTTAAGGAGATTCTGGGCTGAGACGATGGGGTCTTCTAAATATACAGTCAATTCATCTACAAACAGGTACAATTTGATGTCTTCTCTTCCTATTCGAATACTCTTTATTTCATTATCTTGCCTAATGGCCCTAGCCAGAACTTCCAATACTGTGTTGAATAGGAGTGGTGAGAGAGGGCATTCTTGTCTTGTGCCAGTTTTCAAAGGGAATGCTTCCAGTTTTTGCCCATTCAGTATGATACTGGCTGGGGGTTTGTCATAAATAGCTCTTATTATTTTGAGATATGATCCATCGATACCTAGTTTATTGAGAGTTTTTAGCATAAAGGGCTGTTGAATTTTGTCACAGGCCTTCTCTGCATCTGTTGAGACAATCGTGGTTTTTCTCTTTGGTTTTGTTGATGTGATGGATTACGTTAATAGATTTGCCTATGTTGAACCAGCCTTCATACCCGGGATGAAGCCGACTTGGTCGTGATGGATACGCTTTTTGACGTGCTGTTGGATTCGTTTTGCCTAGTATTAAAGATTTTTTGTATCAATGATCATCATGGATATTGGCCTGAGATTTTCTTTTTCAGTTGTGTCTCTGCCAGGTTTTGGTGTCAGGATGATGCTGGTCTCATAAAATGAGTTAGGGAGGATTCCCCCTTTTTGTATTGTTTGGTAGCAGCTCCTCTTTGTACCTCTGGTAGAATTTGGCTGTGAACCTGTCTGCTCTATTAATTGCTGCCTCAACTTCAAACCTTGTTATTGGTCTATTCACGAATTCAACTTCTTCCTGGTTTAGTTTGGGAGTGTATACGTCTCTAGATTTACTGGTTTATTTGCATAGTGGTGTTGGTAGTAGTCTCTGATGGTAGTTTGTATTTTTGTGGAATCGGTGGTGATATCCCCTTTATCATCGTTTTATTGCATCTATTTGAATCTTCTATTAGTCTGGCTAGTGGTCTATTTTGTTGATCTTTTCAAAAAACCAGCTCCTGGAATTAGTGATTTGTTGAAGGTGTTTTTTGTGTGTCTGTATCTCCTTTAATTCTGCTTTGATCTTAGTTATTTCTTGCCTTCTGTTAGCTTTTGAATGTGTTGGATCTTGCTCCTCTAGTTCTT